GCTTTCAACCCTGCCCTTGCGAGTTCCCAAGTCTTAATAATTCATTCGTGTTTGATCACATTGGTCCATTGCTGAAACCAATGACTGGGTGTCGGCCCAAACTCGTCCTCCCATCTGAAAGCCCCGTTACTCGGCTGGTGCATCGGAGACCGCCCCTCTTCCCTACGCCTCGAGATCTCATCCCTCTCATCCCCGCTGCTGATTTTTATGACTTCTCGCACATCCTCTTCCTCGTCCTTCTCGTCTTCTGTATGTATGGGGCTATACCCACCTGCAAGGTTCTTTGGATCTTAGGTAAAATGAATCCCTGTCCCCGTCCCATAGCCCTCACAACTGTCGTGGCCGCTTCGTCCTTCAAGCGGGCTCTCCCTTCTTTCCTCACCCTCCTCATAATTGTCGTGCATGTCTTGTCCCCCCTCACTTTCCTCATGCCAAGTCTCACGTCGCTTGCCCCTGTTGACTCCTTCCTCGTCAGAGACGTGAACCTTATTTCCCATTTCTGCATTGCCTCCTTCCTCCACTTCTGCCTTTTCCTTCCCTCCCTCACCGTCAGACAAGATTTCTATACCTTCTCCTTCGCGGAGGGGTGAGGGTTTCCTATACAAGCATTTCCTTCCTCCCCTGCCTACCACTGGGCCACCCATGAGTCCTATATACAACTTTCTCTTTGCCGCTCTCCTCCCTTGGCTTGGTCATGCTCCCTCCCCTCCGGTAGGTCTGTTGATTGCTCCGCTGTCATTTTCATCACCGAACTTCATCTCCTCTTTTCTTTTAGACCCTGTATAACAAAACAACACCCGCAAGCCCCTCGTGCACCCATTCCCCCAGTCTGGTAGGTAGTCCCCCCCCTTTTTTCCAGAATGCTCCCAGCATCCTTTGGGGCCCCTATTATACATGCGAATGCATCGTTTGTGATGACCCCGTCAAAACTATGGTACAATGCCCTAGACATCCCTTCCCGTTATCGGGCGCATCAGTCCGGCACCGCACATGGCAGCGCGGGACCCTCTCGGCCGCGTCACGCAGGAGTTGGACCAACCTCGTCACGAATACACAAAAGGAGCTTCCTTAGGTCGATCCGGCTGAGTGCGCTAGCCAGACCTCTCGCGAGCCCCTACGACAGGATAGGACCTACGCGAGGCACAACTTACCTCCACCTTACGGCAGCTGTCACCTCCCTTTGGTGGGCGTATCCCCGCCGAGCTACCAGTCCACAATACGAAAGCTACTCGGTTGCAATCGCAGAGGTGGACCAGCCGAGGGCGTTTCTTGCTCGCTGTAGCATAGGGGGTAAGCACGGTAATACGCCTATCGGACCCGCACACGAACTCACATCTTGGGGGGCTGAGGTCCCTAACGCGGCTCGTCGTCGGTCGACCAGGACGCATTCCACACACCACGCACACTCCACTTTACGAACACAAAAATAAAACACACACACACGCACATACAACACGACATAACACAAACAACGCGACAACGCTCCTAGCCCCTCGGTAGCCAACCCATAACTTTCCGATGCTGAAATCGAATAGGCGTCCCGCGCGAGACTTAGTATAAAACCGCGCGGAGGCAGGGCCTACTCATATCGACTAGCAATGCAAACGTACGCAAGCAGTCGCAGTGATGGCGTACCATGTAGTACCCATACTCATGCGGTCCTCGTTAATCTCGAGGGTCGCGTTCGACACTCAAGTGTCGGCTGACACGCGCCTTGAGGGTTAATCTCTCGACGCTGGACAACCGCTATGCGCGGTTGAAGACCACACACCCTCTTCTGCACTCTGTGCAGAGGTGGTGGTACACAGGTCCATACCTGTAGTGGTAGTCGTTTCTTGCGGCCCTGGGGGTAAGTCCTACCCCAGGCTTGGGCGAAAGTCAAGGGGTTTGACTTTGACGGCTGCCACGGACTACAACGTCCAACCATAAAAATTCCAAAAAGCAAATGACAACAGAGGGTCTTCCTTTTCACTCAAGCCCAAATCTGGCTAACCCCTGCGCACGATCTTAGTAAGCCGCGCACATACCCAAGGCACATATGAGTATATATATACAAGGCTTATTTATACAGGACGATCACTCCTCACAGTCACAGTGGGGATCCTCTCAGCCATATAAGTATGTAATCGCAGACAGTCACATCCCGAAGTTGAACCACAACCATACCTGCAATCACATCAAAGATTCATCCAGAAGTCAACGCACAACACGGGGTCAACTTTAACCATTCCTTGTACTCATACCCCTCGCTTTAGCCATACAAGCCTCACTCGTGCAACTCTTAAATAAATACTCAGTACTTTTGTTGGATGACCATTCAATAAAGTCCAGGTGAAAACACAACAAAACAGTTCAATCACAAGGCTAAAGCCTTTAGGTTGAGTGACAAGAGTGAATTGGAGTTGAATCGTAAACCGACGAATCGGAAACCGACCTGTTATCAGTGATAACAGAAGATGATCCTCACAGGATCAAACTGAAACTAGTCAAAGTCCTGAATCAATCGATCAAGAGGACCTGTAATACAAGACAGGTCAATACCCACGGCTAAATCTATAAGTTCATGGAGAATAATCCCCATGTCACAATCTCGCTTAAATCATCCTAATTAGCTAAACCTAAGTCTACCCTCAAGTGGTGCCCAAAGCAAAGGTAGACCTTGGCAGAATTTCCCCTATACAGGGTGGATCGCCAGAATCGTCACCTATCAAAATATAATCTATCTCCTTTAAACTAAGAAAATTTCGGCAGCGCTTTCCGTAGGAAAAGTGCTTTTTCAGAATTTATATCAGCCTGCATATGAAAACAGAAATAATCTTTGACTTTACAAAGTTCAATTTTTGTCCAACTCCCTGAATTAGCAAAAATTTGGGCAGCACTCCCTTTTAAAAATGAGACTTTCCAGATTTTTACTAAGTCATATATAAACTTTAGACAAGTTGAACTTTGACAAGTCCAAATTTGACTAACTCCTTGGATTTGCAAAAATTTCGGCAACGCTTCCCGTAGAGAAAGTAGCTTACCAAAATTCATACAAAGCCAAGTATAATAAAAGACCTCAGAAAATGCAAGAATCGATCTAAGTAAAAAAACTTTGCCCAGAAAATGCAGGAATTTGAACTAACTCCTATCGCTCTAGCACGTGGCGAGCAACTACAGCAATTACCTGTCAAACTGAAACTCACACCAAGTAGTAGTCTCACTCAGTCACACACGGGCCAACACACAAAAGTAAGTACTCTCACCACCCCAAGTCGAACTTTGCGAACAATAGTTCGTAATTTCTCGATGCTTTATTCCCTTATACCCAGCTTACATAGGGCATAAAGTCAAGTCGTCCAATCTATAGAACCTGCCTGACTCAGCCATTGAGTATACACGAACAGGTTGCACAACTACTTCTCTCTTCCTTTTGGGCATATGACTAAGCCGTTCATTTTATAACAAGGCTAAGCCGCCCCGAACTGTTTAATATCCAAATTATATATACCTCTCTGAACTTGGTGTTCAAAAGCTGGGCATAGGACTGAGTCATTCATCTTAAAACAAGGCCCAGCCTGTTCAGGGTTACCTTCAATTATACTCTTAGTTATACTCTTTTCATTTCATGATAAGCTATACAGGCCGTCTAATCTTATGGAACCCATGCCTGACTAGCCTGTTCATAAATAGGATAGTATAGAATATAGCCAAAATTTAATCTTTTGGGTTCCAGCATGTGCGAGGCATTGGGCCAGACCGTCCAATCTTATGGAACAAATCTGGTCCTTTGTCAGGTTCGTTTCTCTCTGATCCATTGTGTGCGGCATGAGTCCAAGGCCGTCCAATCTTATGGACATACCCTGCCCTCAACGATAATTAGTCCCTCAGAATGAAACAGGAAGCCGTCCAATCTTATGGACTGGCTCAGACCTCCTCGACCAAAAACAAAGGAAACAGAACAAAACCCCAACCAAACATGGCAACCAAACCCTCCAATCTTATGGTGCAGATTTGGTCCCTAAAAAGTCAGCCATAGTCAAACCCTCACCATTCATAGCAATCAGACCGTCCAATCTTATGGAACTGGTCTGACCCCATAGGATCCATTCAAGCTTCAAACAAAACTGTCTTTCTCCAACCCTTCCCCCTGGTGCAATTCCCCTTTGTTCACAACCTGCCTTCAGACAACCAAGAAGGCTGAAACTGCCATTGCACACGTGTTCCTTTACTTAGTCTGACTTGTGTCCTGAAAGTCAAGCTAAAGTCAAGGTAGGGATACAAACAGCATACTCAGTCAAAACGTACCAAGGGCAATACAGATAGAGGCTATAATCTGGGTTTATAGAGGGAAAGCAACAATTACCTTTCAATTCCCTGCCTCCAGAACTCCTCCTGAGTTCCGACAGAGCTCCCGCAATCGGTGGGGCGAACTTCCCACAGAGGCCTTGGCGCGGATTACGGGTTGCAATCCCGCCTGCCGCCTTCCTCTCAGAACCAATAGACTAGACTTAGAGTAAGAAGGGCAGGTGGAGACAGTTTTGAGACTCTCAGATCCAAGAAGGGTGCTCTCAGACTCGCAGGAGAGGGCCTTCGTACCTTGAGTCGCCTGAGGGCCCCGCAATGATGGCCAAAGCTGCAGCTTAGTCAGTCGATATCAAATCGCTTGTTGTCAATCCCCCTGGCGACCTTCCAATTCCAGCGATGACTTCTCCCAACGATCCCAACCACTCCGCAGTACCCGCAACTCCCAATATACTGACCATATGTAAGCCCGCAGGCTCGCAACGCACCTGTCAACAACCAAGCCTGTCTTCCACAATCCAGCCCGTCACCACCTTTAACTCTCAAAGCAAGTAGCATAAGTCCGCAATGTTGGCTCCCCTCAAGCTACCTCGTAGGGTAGAATGGGCAGCGCACCGGCCAAACTGTCGGGGCCGTCCCTTACACTGGCTCGCTGTTGTTGCCGCTTCACTAGCGGCTACTGCAGGCAATCGAGCTCCAGCCGCAGCAGCCGATGAAGTCCTTCATGGGCTGCGCCTCAACCATCATTATCCGCCACCAGCATCAGTTACCATGACGCTCAGGGATATGGCACTTGCAGATTGTCAGCAAGGCCGGGCATATGCCCTCCTTCCCTGAGCAGCACGTCCCCCGGTAGATAAGCCTTCAGATCTTGCGGCCTTGCTGCCCCCTCCCTCCTTCTTGCAGCCGGCCCTCTAGCCGCAGTAGTGATCCCAGTCGGTCGAGCCACCCGCAGTGATGCAGGGAAAGCGACCGCGTCGTCTGATCGGGCAGTTGATCTAACACACGGATACGGAGTTCGGCGCAGAAGGCCCGTAGGCACAACATACCGGCCTGCGGATAAGTCTTTAATCCCCGCTACTGGCCTTATGCCACCTCCGGCAAGCTTTGGCCTTGCGGCCGGCAGCCCTCTACTCTTATCGATACTGTGAGCAAGATTCGACTTAATCTGCCGCCCGAACGTGGACACGTACACCTGCTCTCCTGTTTCCTGTTCCAGCACGATCTCACCAGCGAATCAGGTAAGTCCTCCCGTCCGTGACGAGCCTCACACTGCTGCCACCGACAGAGGGGACCAAAATCGACTGAATCTGTTGCCAAAATACAGGCAGGTACATACCCTTTCCGGAAGCCCCCCCCCTTTCTCTCCAGGCGCAGTTCTTAGTGCCTATACCAGCTAACCTACATACTAACGTTCGAATCCAACTCTCCCGTCGGGTTCGCGCACAACAAAAACACCCAAAGCTGCCTTTCTCTCGCTCCGTTCTATGAAGATGGGCGAGGTAGTTAGTTTCCGTTCATCCTCTCAAGCTCGCTGCTGACAGCCACCGCGCATCTCCTACCTCCCCTAACTCTCATACCGCTAACCTCTCCACCATTTTTGCTCTACGAGTTAACTCGCCTGGCCTGAGAACCCCTATCTCAGCTTATACCCTACTCGATCCTATCAGGAGTCGAGCAATGCTTCAATCCTTCCTTCCCGTTATGCTCTCCTCCGCCATAGCTCCTCGCAGCTATCCCTTCCACTCCTATCTCGCGTTCTACTGACTATCAACTAAAACTAACAGCAGTAGCATACTCGCAATAGTTGGAAACCCCCATCTAGCACCTTCGATCACTCGATTCCGTTGAGAATCGAGGGAGTTAGGCGACATCGACTCCGCCTTCCACCATGTCTCCTCAGACTAATCTTTACTTCTACTTCCTTTTCTACTAACTCCCCTTCAAAACTATCATTACCATCCGGATCGCCCTACCCAAAAACCTCCGCTTACTATCTTTCCGCGCCCGATTCTGCTAAGAATCGGGCGAACTATCAACTCCCTTCTCCGCCCACAATGTCTTCTTCATTGCTCCTTTCCTCGAATGAACCCGGCGCGGAAACGCACCCTGATTCATCCCCCCTTCTCGCCACTCCCCAGCTCGTTGCTCCTCGTCCGCTACACCGGCCCAGCGCGCCTCCGTGTCTGCTACCCCGAGTCTCCCCTGCCGAACGCACCTCGACGAGAACCCCGCCCCGGTTCATTCAGTTTTCCGACTCCCTCCGCCTCAATGCCCGTCGCCCCGCTGCCTGCCGTTCGGCGTCCGCTGCGTTCTCTGTTCACCACCACCTGGTGCCGCCTGGCTCCCTCCGCTGCGGCACATCGCTCCCACTGCCCGCTGTCCTATCCCCGTTCACTCCCTTTTTGCCCCTCGTGTTGACACCAACACGGCTATCGCACTATGCCTCTGACAGCGCGGGGCTTGGACCAACGGCGGCCGCGACAATACAGTCAGATGAAAGAGGACTGAAAAAAATTACAAATAACGCCAACCTCTATCTATGCGCGCAGCCCCCTCCCCGCGATGCCTGTTGTTTCTCTCCGCCCATGTACCTGGCCCGGATTCGCACCGGGTCCGTCCCCCGCTTTCCCACTCACTTTACTCCTGCCCCCGACACTCCCCGCCTTCAGTCCTGCTCCGCTTTCCCTGTGCCGCCGCTACGCTCGGTAGTGGCCGGTCCTACCCCCGGCGAACCCCCTTCCTCGGCCCCACTCTACATAGGCCAACGCCCGCCTTTCTCCTCTGAGTTCCCCCGGGGTCCGCCCCTGTCAAGCAGGCCATACCGCCCCTTCGGCCCTTCAACGGCCAGGCCCTACTAACGTCCTTTACCGTAGGCCGCGGGGTGAAAGGTGTCGGCCTACTGCATGCCTCAGCATGGGCCCAGGCGCAGCGGCCGGGCGCGAATCTTTGTGGGCGTGGGGGATATCCAAACAAGACTTTTGCCCCGGCCCCTCCCCCTCGTGCTCCCATCGCAATCGCACGTTCCAAGACGGGACGCGATAACAAGGGGACCAATACACGAAAGGGGGATAAAATGAAATAAACATAGACGTCAGCCTCGCGGATTAGCCCCGCCGCCGCGCCCGTAAACAAAACCGAGGGGGATAGCCCCGCAGCCCTCAACCCCATCGGCTTTCTTCTCGATGCTCCGCCGCTGTCGCACCGACGTCCTCTGGCCTCGATTCCGAAGCCTCCGTAATAATAGTCCAATGCCGTAACCTATAGGGCTAAGCCCAAACCTGAGACCAATACACGCGGAGTGCCATATAAGGCAATGCGGGGCGGCGCTTTAGGGCCTACAAATCGGCCGCGCGGCTCCCAGTGCTCGCGTCGGCTTGCTCACACCGTGCCGTAATTGCCCCGCGCGCCATCCTACGACACCCCGCTTACTGCACGAAGTCGCACCGTCGTCGCCGATGCTGTCGTCGGGGTAGTCCTCCGCACGCGCGCTCGACTCGGTCAAACGTCGCCATCAAACGGAAATATCTTTAATTCTTGCTTAATCAAAAAATAAATAAATAAAAAGAAAACAAAGTTAAACCGGTCGGCGTCCTCGCCGGCTTTATAATCAACGACAAGGAAAGAAATCCCGCGCGCCTCAAACCCTCCGCGCCCACGCACTCTCTACTTCTAGACCTCATAGCCAACCTATAGTTACCACACTGCCATAAGTCGCGCGGCCTCCTTAACAATTCCGGGTCAAACTTGTTTTCTGTCACTTGCAAAAACCAGGGCGGATATTGCAAACCCCCAAGTCATGCTGCCTTTCAACCTCAATCAGTCCAAGCCAAGGCGCCAGTCCCCCAAAAAATGACAGTCCCATGAACATGGTCAGAGACAAACCATAGTGTGGGTAAGGTTGTGGTCAGTCTTTAGCTTGTAGCTCCTCAGTTTCCTTATCTTCGGCCTCCTGAAGCCATTGTTCCACTGGGTTCCGACTTAGAAACCTGACCAATCGTTGCCCCGGGAAGGGCCCTTTCAATCCAGTTTCATCCAAATCTTCCAGTTCGAAGGTGTTCAGTCCCACCCGCTTGGCGACCCAGTAAGGGCCTTTGAACCTCTTTCCCAGCTGTCCCGACTAAGTACTTTCTAGTGCCGAGTTCCTTAGCAATACCATCTCCTCCACTTGAAGTGGCTCCTTTCTGACATTCTTAACCTGGTCCCACCTTGCTTTGTCCCTCATTCTGTTGTTTAGTACCTGGTTGGCGATGTCTTCCATGACCTCCTCATTCTTAAGGATTTGTTGACATCTTGCCTCGATTAACTCTTCCGTGATCATTTGCGGATCATCATGTAACCTATTCCAGGTAGGCACCAAGGCTTCCACAGGAAAGTCGATCTCTCTTCCGTACCAAAGTTCTGCCGGGATAGATCCTGTTGTCCTTTTAGGGGTCATATTCTCTGCAAAGACCGCCTGCTTAAGATACCTAGGCCAGTTCCCTAGATGGTCCGCTGCGAGCTTTGCAATCTTGTTCTTCAAGGTTCGGTGCTCCCTTTCTACAGGTGCATTGGCCTCAGGGTGATACGGCTCGATGAGTTTGATCGGTACGCAGAGTCTCTTAAGCATACCCAATACTGCTTGGTTCACAAACTCCATCCCATTGTTTACTATAAACCTCCTGATGAACGGATGCCTTAAGTAGAAGTCTTCTATCCAATCCGCTACACTCCTCCCTGTCTTTTTTCTTAGGGCGACTGCCTCCATGAACCCACTCAGGTTGTCTCGCGCATCTAGGATGTACGTGTACCCATCCGTTGATACGGGCATGACCGCAAGGTCGAGGTGGACCAAATGTCCCGGCCCTAGCACCCGCGTTGGTCTAAGCGGCTCGAAGACCCGCACCGAGCTTCATTCTTGGCAAATAAGGCAAGTCTGGCAGTATATGGCGACCATGCCTGCCATGCCTGGCCAATAATAGAGTGGCGTCATCTTTGCAAGCGTTCCTTTGGACGACCCATGACCTCCAGCCAACCCATCGTGCATTGCCTGGATAACATCTACTTGCCTAGACCTTCCGCACACAACCCTTCTGGGCATAGCACCTTCCTCCCTTCGGAACAAATGTCCGCCCCTTAGGACGTACCTTTCGGCTTCTTCTCTCGCTTTAATACTGACTTCCGTAGGTTGTTTGTTTCCTACCAATAACAGTTCGATCTCCCGAAAGAGTCCTTCGTATGATTGGACATAGAAAAACTTGTCTCCTTCCTTGCCCCCATCCTTTCCTTCCTGCATCTGGTTTACCACCCATTGCAACTCTTTCCTTTTCCAAGATTTCACTAAGCTCATCACTACTTCCCGACCTCCCTCGACCGCCATTGCTATTAGTTCCTCTCTCGGTCCTACTATCGCTCCCCATGAGTCCTTTTCTTCTCTGCGTCTTCAAGTGGTGACTGGTCCTTCTCTAAGTTCGGCTACTATCGCAGGTGCCCCCTTCTCCAAAGTCTGGATCAATAGTTCTCCCGATGTACATTCCGCGCTCATCATTTCATTATCCACTGCGAGAGTCCCTCCTTCGTATTCGAGGAATGCGTCTATGGGCTCCGCATCCTCCATCCCTTCGGGAGTGATGCAGACCCGACTCAGCCCATCTGCCTTGTTGCGGATTCCAACAATCCGTTCGACCTTGTAATCGAACTGCCAGATGAATCGTACCCATCTCCCTACCGTCGGATCTATAGGCCTGTAATTCTTTAGAGCCTCTGCGACATTCGTCGGATCGATCCTTAAGATGAACCGCCTCCCCGGAAGGTCTTAAGGCAATGCAGGATGACTAGGACTTCCTTCTTGAATTGCGAGTACCGCCGTTCTGCGGAGTTCAGGGTTCTACTCTTCAACCTAATCGGCTTCTCTTTTCCTCCCTCATCCCTTTGAATCAATACACCTCCTACGACCAAAGGTCCTCCATCCGTCTCTAGGATGAAGGGTCGTTCCACTTTGTCATTAAAACAAGGTGCGGACAGGGCGACTGTCTCAGATGTCAATTATGTCCTTGAGCCTTTGGACAGCTCCTTCTCGCTCCTCCGTCCAATCCATGGTTCCTTCTTCCCTGATCATAGCCCGGATAGGCTCAACAATCTTG